ACAGATAAAAAAAAAAAATTCTGTAAAGCAATGATTATTTACACCTTGAAGAAACATAGCGTTAAAAATCTGTGAAGACATCCAAAATACTGAGGAGAGATTCTTGGTTTTACGGAATCGAAATGCTACTTATTTCTAAATAAAACAATATATAATTAATTTTTGCACCATAATATCTAATGCAGTAGCTGTTAATCTTTTGCTACACAGATACTTAAGCTATAGTTTCTCTGGAAGTTCATCCTATTATGAAAGCTCATGAAGGTCGTCTTTTCTGAACAGATTTCTGGAGCCTATGAGATTAATCCAGGCGTTCCACAATGCACTCTCCATAGTCCTACACATTTCCTACTTTATATGAATTATCTTCCTAGGCACATTAAGAGATCGTTAATAAATATCTATGTAGATTTTTCCACAGTCAATGTGTACCATCCTAAAAATCTTGATGTCCAGAGCTTGGTAGCTGAAGCTTCCTCTGAACTGGCGCTAACAAATCAAGGAAGAGGGATTATTTTTGACATTCGCTGCCTCCAAAACCAAACAAATAATTTTGCAGAATCATCAAGCAAGCCCTGAATTTTTTTCTAATCAATGAAGCCGAATTACGCTGAACATCTATTGAGAGTCAAGCTCACCCGATATATCAAGTAGTTCTTTGGATCACTTCAGAAAATATCTTACTCCTACCAACATGATCTATTATTACAATAGTAAAATTAGACTTAATATATTGTATATTTTCAAATCCTCTCCTGGCTTTGACGGGGTTGAAACGTTTACGTGGCCTTGCGGGCCATTAATTACTTTCCGCTCTTCAAACACTTTCCCCACAGACAGAATGTTACCAACCTCTCACTAATCTATCACTACGGCAATTGTGAAGACGAGTTACATTACTTAGTTCCACCGCAAAGAACTGTCATGTTAAGGATCAGAGACGAATTATATTCACCCACTTCATACTTGGCAGTTATGAAATTCTACCCAGACAGATTTTCCCAGGAGCTATTACTTTTTGGAAATGACTCCCGAAAAGAAAGTCTTTTGGAGCTAACTCCAGAGAAGATGCTTCGCAGATCATTACAATCTTTACCTCACCAAGTCAAGGGTCAACCTTTATCCCTGCTACATATTTTCATAATATGCACTTTTGCCTTATCTGCCAGACTCTCATTCAGTAATACTCTATTTTGGATGACTCTTAGGTCGGGTATCCGGTGAAAATATTATGACAATTATGTTTTTGTTGTGTTCTTACATAACGGGAAAATGTGAGACGTTTCACATTACAGTGATTCATAAGAGAAAAGAACAGATTTTTAATCGGATTTAATATACAACTGGAAAGGTTGTTCTAAAATGAGCTGATCAGGAGTGAAATCCTTGTGTACTGGGATCACCCAAACGCACGATGGTGTAATGGATAGTGGCTGGAGTCATAATGAATTAATAGGTAGCGGCTGGAGGTACGATGGAGTAATGGATAATAGCTAGAGGAATGATGGAGTAATGAATAGCATTTGGAGGCACGATGAGATAATTGATAGCAGTTGGAGATACGGTGGAGTAATGGATGGCGGCTGGAGACCCGATGGCGTAATGGATGGCGGCTGGAGGCACGATGGCGTAATGGATGGCGGCTGGAGGCACGATGGCGTAATGGATAGAGAATGGAGGCACGATGGCGTAATGGATAGCGGATGGAGGCACAATGGCGTAATGGATAGCGGATGGAGGCACAATGGCGTAATGGATAGCGGATGGAGGCACAATGGCGTAATGGATAGCAGCTGGAGGCACGATAAAGTAATGGATAACACCTGGAAGAATGATGAAGTAATGAATAGAGATTGGAGGCATGATGGATTATTGGATAGCGGCTGGAGGTACGCTGGAGAAATGGATTGTGGCTGGAGGCACGGTAAAGTTAATGGATAGCGGCCCTGATTAAGAAGTGAGTCATGTTCATTACATTCACTTATTTGTTAATAGCATTGAGAAACTTTTGTATCTATTTCTTCTTCGACAGATATGAATAAATAACAGAGTAGACTGGTTCCTATAGCATTGGGTGGCAACCGGTCTCGGAAAAGGACAAAAAAAAAACTGAATTCAAAACCAGCCTGAAGAGGATTGAGCTCTTGTCAAGCCATCTTGCCTAGGAAGCACCACTGCTACTGCAGTATATGTGGTACCTCTACGAACCTAAAGGATTACGGAGGCCGCGATCGTCATAGGAGAACATCAAACGAACTACATGCAAAAGAGGGTTAGAAAAGCGTTTAAAATAGCGTTCCAAATGATGTCAGTAGCTACGTTGACATATAGGCACGACGTTAAACGAGATGAAGTTAGAATATACAACACAAGACACCTGGATGAGCGAAAGGTATATAAACGCGCAATCTGCAAAGAAAATTTAGTGTTCCTTATATTGTTTTGAGACGATCATCAATGTTCGAAGAAAGTCCATATACCCTCACGTCGGGCGGTAATT